CAGCAGCAGTCAACAGGTGGCCTAGGGGAGACCGGTCACGTTTAGCAGCTTTCAGCAGGAGAGCGTCAACCACCGTCAACATGTGTGAACTACTATGAGAGATCGACCTAGATCCGAAAGCCGGCTTATGAACTTTACCACACCAAGGTAGCTGTCCTAAACCCTTACGTTCCTGTTGAAATAAACCACGTAAATCTATTTCTACTGTTGTCGTATTTCTTTCTTGCAACCATACGCTTGTCTATAACAAGGCGTACTACCAAATCTCTGTCGAAGAAAGCGATATACTCCAAACTGTTATTAGCATCTTTTCGGTTTATTCGAATTCACTTGAATGCCGTTTGTTTTAAGAAATACAGCTCGATCTTTTTTCAAAGGTTCATAAACGAAATGTTAAAACGTTTATCCTTCACGTTAGCATACATCTACGACGTGTTAAAATAGTAAGCAAGGATGGACACTGGAACATTTTCAACTTGTTTTTGAACGCCTCCAAACATTTCCAACTTGTTTTTGAACGCCTCCAAACATTTCCAACTTGTTTTTGAACGCCTCCAAACATTTTCAACTTGTTTTTGAACGCCTCCAAACATTTCCAACTTGTTTTTTGTTGTGCCTCCAAAGAAACCCGAGCTAAAGTATAAAAGGAATTTTAAAAAATGAAAATATATTTATTATTATTTTAGTTTTAATTTCAAGCTAAAGCTAGATTAAATTTGATATTTCCAATAAACAAAATGCTTTGCTATATTCCAAAACTAATCTAAATTGATTGCATGAGTTATTTTGTTATGTTAAAAATCACTGATTTTAGTCATTTTAGCCATCTGTCAGTAGAATGTAATTCTCTTTGTTAAAACCTCTTTCGAAAATATATTTTTGCGAAACTTTATTAAGGAATATTAGTTGATCTAAAATTTAAATAATAAGAACACACAGCATGAAAATAAAAGATACCTCCGCTTTTTGCTGATGATGACAAAAGGTCCCAATCTTTATGAAAACAAAGTTTTATCTTCAAATTGTTTATAAGAGGAAAGACCAAAGTATTTTTAATTATTTTTTAAAACCTTTCTAACACGTTCGAAATCAAATAATTGTCCAATTTTAATGAAACTTTCAGAACTTATTCACAAATGAATGAAATTATTTTTGAATTTTTTGTTTTAGAAAATCTTGGTAAAATTTTTTTACCTATGTTACCCCTCAACTTACTTAATTTCATGAAATTTCGAGAAATTAAATTGCATTACCAAACTTTTTTATTAGTTAAAAGTAGGACTCCTTAGAGAATGTAATGTAAACCATCCATTTCTTTTTTTCAAACTTTTGCTCGTTTTCCGAAACTCTCCTCTGAATGGTAAACTAAAAAATGTAATAAAACTATGACATTATTTAAATAGAAAAACTTTTAATTTCATTTGTAAATAAGTTATTGTCTTAAGAAAAAAAATCGATGAATAATGAATTTTTACAAGAATTTTTCATTTTTTTAAAATTTTAATTATAATAATTTATCATAATTTAAAAATCGTTTAAAATTCTGAATTAATTTATTTCTTTTAGGTGATATTGTAATTAAGTATAAACTATATTTACAAATCAAAAATTGAAAAGCTTAATATAAGTCATTTTGTACCAATTTTTTACTTTAAGCATTCCCATTTTTCATCTATGGTAGTCGAGACGTAACATTATCACGAAAAAGGTCTCTTGTTCTAAAAGTTGTCCTCTTTTTACATAGAAATTCGCTTGTCTCCAATTCATTATTCATTGCTTACGTTTCAACAGGTTTTGAATATCATCCCTTCAGTTTTAAAACTTTAAAATTTAAAGTAAGTTTTACCTTTTTAGTTTCTATTTCACGAATTTTATGTATTTATTTTAGTGTGGGTCATAAATTATTGAGTTACCTCTACCATAGTATTTCATCTCAGTTATTAAATTTTAAAATTAATCTAAGAAAATTTTATAGTATTTTAAATTTCATTATTTTTTCATAAAACATCTTCAAACGTAACTAAAAACCAATAAAATATTAGATAATTGTTAAAAATATGTTAATTTGTAAAAATTACTAGGTAGTTAAAAACAAAAAGAAATGCGTTCTTAGATTTCGTAAATTTATGTCAATTTTGGTCATGTATACTAGCTGCCAACTCCTCGATACGTCAATAAAGACAAAAGAAAAACAGGACTTGTCGTTAAGAAATGTTTGTATATTACCTTTTATGCTATATGTAAGTAATGTTTGTTTCAAATCAGATTAATTTAACTTTAAATTTGCTAATTTTACTCAAATAACGTATCACAAATATATATTTTATTTTTGGAAGATTTTTAAAACTGATAATTTTGTTTTGTTTACTAATTTCTTAAAAGTGAGAAAATGGCCGCTTGTAAGATTTTTTTGAAAGCGAGAAAATATTTGATATTCCTATTTATATAATTTCTATTTGAAATACACTTGAATATTTTACTTACTGGAAATAGTACATTTTATTCTTTAGCTTTCAATTAAAGCTAAAAAGAAATCTTTAAGAATGCGTTTTCATTTTTTTTAAATTTATTTTAAACCTTAGGTATAGAAAATTTTAGCGAAAACTGGAGGTCCATTTAAAAAGCAATTGTACACGCTAAAGTTTGGACTAACTCCAGGATCCTGTTTCAAATATTCCGTACATAAATGTAAAAAACATTAACACTATTTTTCAAACAACAGAATTACAGAATTATGCATATTTTTTATGAACAGTAGAGAGCCTATTTTTTTGCATATTGAGTCAAAAGCTTTTTTTTTTTTTTTTTTTTTTTTTTTTTTTTTTTTTTCAGATTTTCACTGATGGTTTTTGACAGCTTGTAGCGGACCGGGGATATACGTGTTGTTAAATTAGAAACATGTGTTTTATTCCTGCTAGAAGAAGTTCCACTACAAGAAGATGGCGAACTTAGAGATTGAATCCACCATAAAGAAATGTAAAGAAAACCAACAAGACCAATATATATATATATATATATATATATATATATATAAACAAATATATGTATTAAACAACAAAATTTACAGTGGACTTAGACATTAAGATTTGTGTTTGTGTGTGAACGTAAATAATTTGTATTTTGGTGAATGTTCGTACGTTCGTGTATGTGTGTATAATGTTCATGGCGTCTCCCACAAATGGGAAGACGCTATCTTCTGCAAGAGCTTACATTGTAGATGTGTTCGCTGAAAATGAAGAAATGGAAAAGAGAACTAGGCAAGAAATCGCCCAGTATTTATAGGGTAGGGAGAGCGTCCCCTAGTGAACAATTTGGACAATTAAGGAGGAGTTAACTCCGACAAGCTTCTATCTCCATGTTATATCATTAATTTGATAGAATTTGTTGTCCAATCGTTGTTGAATCGTTTATTCTTTATTTTCGTATATAAAATCATCATCATCATTTAATCAGTTAACGCCTTTTGCGTCGCTGTGGCTACCTCTCCCCTGTGGTTTGTGGTGACATTCAAGACAGAATAGTGCAATCGCTTGCCGGTTCCTTTTTTCTTCCATTCATACAGAATTGGCGTTGGGATCCAAGCGGATAAAAAGCCAGTGATGATACGGAACACAACACTTAGGTAGCAAACAATAAGAGAAGAAAAACTCTGAAAACCACTTCACTATTTTTCCTAAGTCACAACAATTCACATATAATAAAAGAAGCTGTGAAGAGCCATCATCACTTACGTCCTGAACGGACATAGCATTAAAAAATAATTTTGATGGAATTGCTCTGTTAAAATTGCAACCAGAAGCCTCTTGTGAACTTAATCCGCTCTAAGAGGGTCCGGCATAAAGAATTCTCCCTCTCTTGTCGAACTCTCTACCTCTCTAGACGGAGAGGAACTCAAACGAGGCTTTGTCGAAGGGCAGGGTCTCGTTTGGGGAGGAAGACAAACCCGATCAGGGTTTACGGTCAATTTTTGCCCGAGCCTAAGGGCTCGGAACGACCCACGTTAAAAACTGGCCTTGTGTCACATTGTTATAATAATCTTCCTAAACCAGATTTTCTTCTGATTCACGTTACACAAATTTCCACCACTGGCCGGACGTGAACGCTCCGAAACCAAAGACCGAACTAAAAATTCCATCAAATACGCATCGGCTCCGAAAACACCATCCGCTTTCCTCACCCCCCCCAAAAAAAAACATACAATCCAATTTTTTTACCCAATAGCACCCACTCCGAAATAGGAATTGGAGCCGATCTGAGCCTTAAAAGCCCATCAAAGGGACATTTTCGGCAGTCGATCGGCACAATAATCAGGGTTCACACACTCGTCATCACGCCATCTCCACACCCAAAGACAACTGGCCTCCCATCTCCAAGGACAACTCACCAAAGCTCATAAGTCACGACTCCCCCCCCCCTCTACTACCATAAGCCACTGTGGACGGCTTGACTTATCTCTTTCTTTCAATGAAAGACTTTCACACCACTTCACCATTCGTTGTATTTTTTAAATTTTGTTTAAACCTCTGTCGTTTCTTGTTTTTGCCATCATACACTTAAAACAACATCTTGCCTTGTGGGGAGGTTGGTAAATAAATAGAAAAGAATTAAACTGAAGAATGACAAACAGAATTAATTTGATCGGTAACTCGTGTCTAAAACAAAAATCATATGAATTTTAAATTAAATACTGTAGTGTAGTGTAGTGTAAGTTATTTGAATTTCTATCCGCTAATCCATTAAAACTATCAGAGTTGTCTCCCTTTTACAAATGCCAACGTTTTCTACGCATGTCGAACATTGGTTTCCAAAGTTTTTCTATTTTAGAGAACGAATAGCGATGTCTCCACAAAACAGCAACTTCAGTTTTTAAAGTATCGACTAATTTGTTGATGCTTCTCATTCTTGATCTATAATGGATTGAAAGAGAACGAGCGGAGTAGTCCCCCAAAATTCGTTTTGTTTATAAGGGTGATAAATAGGACACTGAATGACAACCACCAATGACCCTGACGACGCGATTAATCAGTCTACACGGCGAATACGCCATGAAACTGAAAGACATTCCGACTATTTCGTCTTCTTTACAACTCAACTCACAACGGACCATGAAGAAAAAGCTCATTTCTTTTTCAACAACGAAATGTCTCATACGTACTTTATCGCATTTTGTTGTAGTAAAAGAATTTATTTCTCCACATCAGTTTAACTCAGCTAGATGTTTCCATTGGTAATAATCTATCATTCTCTTTTTTTTTTTAACCAAATTGATGCAACCCAAACCAAAACAATTCGAGATTAAATAATTTGGCATCAAAGTTCTTTTTCCGTTTTTTTTTTATTTTTTTTTTATGGTTGTTAGAATTATTAATAAAAATGTTAAAAATTAAGATTTTTTTTTGTAATACGTACTTTCTCAGTATTCAATGAAGCTACAATTTTATTTTCGTGATAGAAAAAAAAAACAAAAAACCTTGAATATTGTTGCTAGATATTTGGATTTCAGTTTAAAACAAAGATAAAATTACCTTATTTATTTACTACTTGCCCGTTAAATATTTTGATTTCGTCTCATCTTGTCCAATACTGTTTTCAACTATTTTTTCTTTCAATTCATTATTTGTGAATTTTTAATTATAACAGTTTTTAGTTTAACAACTAATTATTCACTTCGTTAAAAATAAAACATTTATTCTGCGTTTTTGATATTCTTAAACTGCTTAGCTTATGCCTCATCCTGAAAATTCAACATTTTTGGTTAGGTCCTAAAGAAATTACTCTTGTTTCCTCAAATAAGAGACAAAAAATAAAAATGAACTTTACTGTTTTCAGTTCACTATCCCTAAAATAACCATATGTAAACAAACAATTAAATAAATTGTTTTACAAATTCCGTGATCTTTTGATTACAAATGTATTATCCGTAAGGTTTTATTTATGGAAAAAATAGTTGAAATAAATTGTATTTTGGATACTACCTTTTATGCAAATCCCTTCAAATCCAAAGGAATATGAGGGTAGTTAAAAAAAATATTAAATGTAAGGGAAGTAAATTAGTGTCTGAATGATAGAAATAATTTGAAACTCAAAGCTTAAAAATACTAAACATTCTAATTTTGACTTTGGAATGTGATCCTTTTATGTAAACACTTTATTCTTGAAGGTTGTCTAAATCAATCTGAAATCATATGGTTCACAAAAAACTAAAACAGTTAGAAGTTTAAATTTAATTTAATAGAAGTAGATAGGTTCACACTCCTCCCCAGTATTTTGAACAAGAGTCAAAGATTATTTCTTCTTTCCTGTGTAGGATTGGGTTTCCAGTTCCTTCTAAAGTCTTCTTATTCTCTTTCTCTCCGATTAGCCTCATACATCTTAGTGGTATTATCATCTTGCTTGGGGTGAATTGATTAAAAAAATATATTTTTCTTCATTTATTCATGCTATGTTCACTGAATTAAATCCATAACCAAACTTTTAAAAATAAAATAAATTTGATTAAAGTTATAAATATACAGGTTTTCTGTCTGATGTCAAAACAGAAATCTCTTTCCTGTAATGTACCACAAAATATAAAAGCTCTTAAAAGCCAGTAGTTTTCTTTGATCTCAAATAACAATCTCATCAACCTAGCCTTGTTTTTTTCCATCAACGAGAAATACCTGTAATGTAATAAGTTTTTATCAAAGGTTTTCTTCTTTAAACTGTACACTAGGAATTAAAAATATAACAAAATTGAAAAAGAATTTGAAGTAATTTTCCAATTAGAAATAAATATTCAATAAATGCAAGTAAATATCTTTCTATATTTCTGAGATGAAGTATTATCATTATTTACATTGTTCAGACTGTTGTCCTCTTCATCATTGCCACATTCATGACAGTAGAACGATATAAAGGGTTCAGTTCAAAATTTTAATCAGCTGAAACATTGTGAGTGTGGTAACAAAGATGAGGACAGCAGTTCGAACATTGTAGTGTAAATAAATGCAAGTAAAATTGACAAAATCTAGAATAAATTTCAAACATCAAGTTTTTGCATTGCTTTCTCACTTTCCTTTTAATAAAGATTAGAAAACATTGCTTGAAATTTTGTCAGTTTGAAGTAGTGAAACTTTATTAGTATTTCAGAATAGAAAAAAATGAATACTTTCATGTTAAATTGTATGTTACTTGTCTAATATAAATGCATAAAAGTATAATTTGCCTATCACTGATGTGTTTAATCAAATTAACAAAAATTTTATTCATGATCATTTTTCTTCTCTTTGAATTGAATCTGATTATAAAAACTAAATCCAGAAACTAATTTTTCTAAACAGCCATCTTAGTTTCTGGATAATATATATAGTGATTTTTCATGGCTAGCTTAGATGTGGCACAAGGCCGAAATTATTGGGCACTCAATGAGGATTGAACTCGGTTGTAATTGTTCTAGTGATACAAGCTTGCATACTATTACACCACCTGAAAGTGCCCTCTGGTTCATATAGATATAAGTAATAATATATAATTATTTTTTTCTAATTCAGATCTAATAAATAGCTTCTATTATGATTTTGTATTTATTCACAGGTCCTCAATGAAGCTAACACAGTTGAAACCCGATGTTGAATTTTATCGTCGTACTCTTCCTTCAAGTTGCATTTCTTTCTCTTCAGAGAGAGGGAAATTGATATTTGCTGAAGCACTGGCATCTGGTCACATGAACTGTTATTTTAAACTAGCCTCTCATTTCCGTACCCAAGATGAACCAGCCTTCTGCGGTCTGTCCACTCTGGTAATGGTACTCACTGCTTTAGACATTGATCCTGGTGTCGTATGGAAGCGACCCTGGCGATGGTACCATGAGAACATGCTTGACTGTTGTATTCCTTTGGATGTTGTGAAGAAGAATGGCATCACTCTTGAACAATTTACCTGCATTGCTGAATGCAATTCTCTACAAACAAATGTTGTACGCCCCAAACTTGTCAACATGTCTGTGGATCACTTCCGAGAGGTAATTTATTTTTTCTGTAACATCGCTGCTCTCCTTCAAAATGATTAATTCAAGTGACAATGCATACACTTCTGTTCTTATTTGCTTTCTTCTTTTTTTCTTACCTGTTGAAGATAATGTTGATAGGAAAAAATGAGCTTCCTGCTGTTCATTTAACAATATTGCTTTATTTTCATAGAAATATAGCATCTGTTTTTGATTGTATGTTTTTCTGTTAAAATATGACAGAATACATTGGAATAATATGGCAAATGTACATTATTACAGATGCAAAAGCGGTCTCAGATCGCATGCGGACATGTTTGTCAACACCAGCTGCATCCATGTTTTCTCTGTTAGCAGCGGGACAGCTTGGCATGCCTAGATACAGGCCTCTCTGCAACTGGTCAAGATCTGGGTATTTGTAAGAGGCCTCTTACAAATACCCAGATCTTGACCAGTTTGTAATAAAACAACAGGAAAACTAGCAGTTGGCGAGACATGGTGTCTTGTGAAGTTGGTCCCACGTGATTTCTGAGGCAGTGTTATTTTTGTCTCTTTCCCCTCTCTGCCTGTAACCCCCCGTAATTGCTGGGAGAGTTATCAATTAGGTGTTTCCGCTAATTACAACACACTGTTCCTATACTTTACAACAAATAATCTGGCTGATTTTCTATCAGGAGACAATAGTGACTTTTCATCCAGGTATCATTACAGAGTCATGCCTCTGTTTGCTCTTTATGACAGGACATTAAATACTATTTCAATCAGTATCTGTCTATATTTCTGAGATGAGGTATTATGTACACTATTTACATTATTCGGACTATTGTCCTCATCTTTGTTGTCATATTTATCACAACATTTCAGCCATTGTATGCTCCTGCCTTCTTCAGGTGGTTGGAATGTATCAGTTATCTCCTGTTAATTCTCCTTTCCAAGTTCTCCACTGCCTTAACCAGGTATTGAACTTACAACTCTTTGGGTCCTATCACTGAATCTAACCAAAACCTTTATGGACTGTGCCATGTGTCCTTAAGGAGAATATGGAGAGGTGAATTAACAAGAGATAACTGATAACTAACATCCATTAGACATGGCATGTGGAACTAGAACAGTCTACTCCAGCGAGTGAAATGAAGGGTTCAGTTCAACATTCCAACCACCTGAAGAAGGTCGGAGTGTACAACAGCCGAAATGTTGTGATAAATATGGCAACAAAGATGAGGACAATAGTCTGAATAATGTAAATAGTGTATTTCAATCAAGTTTCTGGATAAAGAGAATTCATGACATTGATCAATATTCACCTTCCAGACAGGAACAATTGCGGCTGCTTTCAGACAAAAGCAATTTATCTTTGAACCTGGGTATAGTCTCTTCTTGGATTTTGCTCACAACAAAATGACCATCTTCTTGAACTAATTTGCTTTATCTCCCTGAGAAACATAAATACCGAAAGTTTCTAAGTACATATAGGTACTGAAAAGGTCTTGGTTTAGCCAAGATACTTAAAAAAAAATTTTATGCTTGGAGTTGTGTTCATATTTTGGGAAATTGGTTGAGCTGAAGATTTTTCATCACTCCTTGCACATTGCAAAACATTAAGGCATCTGCTCTTTCAAGCCTCAGTTTGATAAATCAGCTATTTTGGGTTACTAATTAATCTTTATCTCTGCTAGAAATTCTAATATTCACAATTCTATACTTAGATTTTTTTTAACTGACAAGATGTGTGACTCAATGACTGGTATCTCATTCAGATTTCTTCTTCTTTATGTGCTGTGTCCTTTCAGTATGTAGGCAGTCATGGCTCTCCACAATTTCCTGTCCTTTGTAGCTCTTAATAAATTTTGTCTTATCATTATTTCTCCTAGACCCTATTCCACCATTCATTTACTTAAGCTCATTAAGTATATTATGTGCTGTTTTCCTCTATCCATCTTACCTTCAATCTGTCCTGTGAGTATCAGATTTTCCAAGCCCTCCTTCCTCATTATATGTCCCAGAAATTTCAACTGTCAACTTCCTGATGTTAAATGTAAGTTTCCTTTTTGTTTCCATTTTCTCTAAAATCTTGTCATTGCTCACATGTTTGGTCCATGGTATCCTCAGCATCCTTCTGTAGTACCACATTTCTGTTTTCTGTCCTGGGTAAGACAATAAACTACATCCAGCAGCAAGGCCTCTGATCAGGAGGTTTTGAGGAGCATGGAACCACCTCTTAATTGCTGGTGTTCCCAGGTCCACCCTGACCCAGGGTGGTAGAACCTGTTAGGGTCCCAGCTATGGGCAAATAGTTAACACCCAAACTTGTGTAAAAATAGGTTTTAATACCAGAAATACTTTGTAATAAAAAAAAATTATTACCAGCAATAATTTTTGAAGGAAAAATTATTATAAGCAATACTTTTAAAAAAATACCAGCAATACAAACAGTTATATATTCTTTGAAAAAAATATGACCAGCTGTAGATTTCTTCAAGGAAAAATATTCCCAGAAATAGATTTTTGAAGAAAAACATTACCAGCAATAAAAATTTTGTCAGCATTAAATAACCCATTGAGGTTGATATGCCATAAAACAAAACAAAGCAAACATTTCTGTTCCCTCAAGTCTCTTCCTCATCTTTGAGGAGATTTTCCAGCATTCACTGCCATATTGGAGGACAGATATCACGTAACAGTTCAGTACTCTTTTCTTTATTTCTAACAAAGTTTTTCTGTCTCTTAATGCTTTACTCCAATGTCACACTTTCCATCCTCTAATAAAACACTTCCCAGATATTTAACTTTTTGTATTTGTTTGATTTTAGTATCTCTGATTTGTAATTTGTATTTTAGGCTTATCCTTTTGCTAATGACTGTGCATTCTGTTTCTTGCAGGTTATGTTTAGTCCTTTCTTCTCACTTTCTCTCACTACTTTTTTTATAGTTTTCGGTGACTGCTATCAACACTATGTCATCAGCATATCTTATGTTGCTAATATTGGGATAATAATAATGAATCCTGGTAGGGCTTCTAATTCTCTCAGAATTGCTTTGGTGTATAGGTTGAATAAGTCCGGTGAGAAGACACATCCTTGTCTTACACACCTTTCTATTTTTTTGTATTTGCTGAACTCATTTTCTGTCCACATGCAGGTGGTTTGCTGGGGCCAAAAGCAAATAAATAACTTCATATTCTCCTCTTCTTTGGTGTCCTTTAACCTTTTCACTTTCACCGCTGCTGCGAATCACATAAGCCACACCCAGGATCCTCCATCGTGGCTAAGTAACCAATCAGTGATGCCATATTGTTATAATAGGTATTCTCTTTGACAGATGTAGACTTGTCAAGAGAAGGTAACTTCCTCATGTGTATAGCGATACAGCCTTTTATACAGTATGTAATTTACATATCACTACAGCCTGTCTGCATTTGTTCCTTATTTCTTTGTGTAGTGTTCTTTTGCATTGTTTTTTGTTTCCTTCCCATCATGTCCAGAATCTCATCTGTCATCATTTTTTTCTTCTTTGTCTATTTTCCATTAAGATGATCTCATTTGATGATGTTACTAAAGCTTCTTGTCATGTGTCCCACTTCAAGTTTCCATTTTCATTTTGTCCATTGTATCTGCTTTTCACACTGTACATATATTTCTCCTTCAGATTCAGGTCGTTCAAGAGTATATGGCAATTTGGGTGCTGCCTGTAGTTTTATTCTAAGTTTACATATAACTGAGAGGCGATCATTTCAGCAGTCGGCATTTGGATAGCTTTTGCACTATGCAACTCTGTTCTTGAATCTCTTGTTGATAGTTATATAGCCAATTTGTTTTTTCATTTCTCTTCCTGGATTTCTCCATGTCTATAATAGTCTTGGTTGTTCTTGAAACCAGGTGTTGGCTACTATCTGATCATTTGCCATACATCACAGGAACCATTTTTCTCCACATTCATTACAGGTTCCTAGTCTAAATCTCCTAATTTCAAGTTCTTGGCCTATTTCTCTCTTCAGCAGATATTTATAAGTTCTTTATTTCTCTCTTCATCAGATATTTATAAGTTCTTTATTTATAAGTTAAGATTAAGATATTTATAAGTTCTTGGCCTATTTCTCTCTTCATCAGATATTTATCCTCTATGATTTCTTCAAATCAACTACCAAAATTTAAGTCCATCAAATTTCCTGATATAGTATTAAGAGCAGAAAATCTATGGATGAATTCTTTGATTAGACTTATTGTAAGACACTACATTGCAATAATTTATTAAATCTGACCTGAATAGTGTTACTATCTTGCCACACCCAAACACAAATATTCCACTGAATAGAAAGAATTGTATTTTGCTTTTTTAAGGACTTTTTTTTTTAAATGAGTAGTCTTGAATCTTATTGTTAAAATTTAAAAAGGACCAATAATTTTTTTAAAAAATAGCTAAGCAATAATAGTCAAGATGACAGGACTAACATCACCTGAGACTTAGAACTTAGATAATTTTTTTGCCATGAGATGATATTTCTTTCCCCATATAAATAGACAAAAAATCAGTCTCTAAATTAAATATGATTTTGCATGGCATTTTCAACTTTAATATTTACTGTACAGCTGATTTTCCTTTTTTCTGTTGCAGGTCATTAAAACATACACACAATGCAGTAATATATTTCTTGTGGCCACCTACTCACGGAGGATCCTCAACCAAACAGGTGATGGACATTTCTCACCAATTGCTGGTTATCACCCAGATCAAGATTTAGTTCTCATCATGGACACTGCTCGCTTTAAGTACCCACCCCACTGGGTCAAGTTACCACATCTTCTGGAAGCTATGAATGCCCCGGACAGGGATACAGGTCAGTGAGTAAACCAAATTTTATTTTTTATGGATTACTTAATTCTTATATTCGCTGATCTTCTTGGGTATTTTTTTTTTAATTCAGTCAACAGATCAATAAGTTTAAACTTGAATCTTTTGTCAAAATCTCATGAAAATCATCCTAAAGAAAGCAGATTGTTAAATAAGCTCCTTGTTAAAGGGCAGCATTTTTTCCCCTTTCAACTATAAAAACTTTTAAAATTTCAAGTTTTTGTAAAAGTAATAAAAGAATTTAATCATTAGTTCTGCATGGAATTAGTTCTAGAATTTGCTGAAATTGTATGCAGAAATCTGTCAAATTTCTTATATTAATGGGAAGAAAATTTTCTGAAACAAGATTAAAAGCCATGAGTTTGTCATGAGTTCCAATAAAAATAAAATATATAAACTAAAATAAAAAGAATCCAAATTAAAATAAGGCATTTTTGCTTTCCTTTATCTCCTTCTTTCTCTCTCTAAACTTTCCTTTCTATATTTCTCTTTCAACTATTGAGAAGGCAACCCACAAATAAAAAGAGGAAGAAGACTGTGCCCAGCCAAAAATTGTCGGAAGTTTGCAGAAGCAGAGCCGACATTTGTGACTTACTTGTGATTGAAAATACCAAAAACCAGGGATGTTTCACACATAACCTCTGTTATAAAAAAAAAATGAAAAAAGAAAGGAATGCCGGAGAATAAAATAATTTTGCCCAGTCAAAAAAATTGTTAGCCGAAACCAATGTTCATGTCAGAGTCGCGGAACCTGGTCAAAATGGATATAAACTGACATCTCTGAGCTAGAAGCAAATAGAATGACAGAAGAAATGGCGAAAATGACAACTAGAGGTGTGACCACTAGAGAAACTAGTCAGGCAAGATGCTTGAAGAATTAGTTAAGAGGTCCTCTGCTAATGATATTTCTATCCTGCTTAGGGCTGAGAAAAACACAGTAGATTGACGGTGATCTATTTCTCACATTACTACTATCTCTATCATGGTCTGATTCAAAACACCACTACCGGAAATTTCTCCAGACTGCAACTAATATCCACCTTCTAAACAAACATTTTGCTACACCAAATACCAAAGGACTCACTCATCACTCTAAAGGAAATAAATAAAAATATTTATTTTATACTCTTGAGTCAGTTCATTTTATTCCAGTTTCTAGTAAAGAAAATCCTACCTACCATGAGTTTTTGCATTAACAATCAACAAAATGGTTGTTTCACTTTAAACTGTTCACAAGTGCAGTCCAAAAGCATGCTAAGTTTGTCATCAAAAAGATTTTTTCTTTCATACTTCACCCCAGTAGTAATGATTATAATGTTAGAAAAATGCAGAGTTTGAAAAAAATTGTTTTTATACCCAAATTTTTTCATCAGGCGACCATAGTTGTCTCCCCCTCAAACTACTTGACTATAAAAGAAGTGGTTCAATGGGCATTCGTCAACTAGCATTGAATACATCTTTACTACAAACTTCTCTGTTTTTCTTTACAATCATTTAAATATATGGAGAATTATGTCTCTTAGATTCTCTCTTCTCCATTAGGAATTAATAATAAAAAGAATGTTCAATTTCACATTTGCATCTTGTCCTCTGACAATTAATTTGACTTTATTTTTATTTCTTGTTAATAATGCATTTTATTTCTTCTTCAGGTTTACCACGTGGTTACATAATGCTGAGCCAAAAAGCCAATTCTAGTCCTCTTCTCTTATTTCGAGTTTCTTCAACTCTCACCTTAATGCTTCATTCACAATTGCCAGCAGATATTTTGCTGTTTTTAAAGAAATGGCAAGATTTATTGAGAGAGAAAATTGACACTGAACAGACTGAGGCAGCCATTATCAATACCATTCAAAAACTGTTGTCTCTCATTTCTGACTTAAATCCACAACATAAACTTTTAGAGTTTCATGTCTTGGAGCAAGACTGCCCTTGTGACTTGGTTGATGAATACAAAGAATATGGTTGTGCCATGCAGAAATTGCTGGAAGAATTGGAAGCCACAAAATTATTTCTTCTTGTTATGGAAATTATGAAACTAGAAAAAGATGGTGAGCAGATTTTGTTTTGTTTTGTTTTTGTTTTTTTTGGTTTATTCTTCATTTTTTATGAAATAAATGCAATTTATGAAAGAAATCAATTTTTGACATTCACATTTGATAACTTTCACATTTTATAATTTATACAGAGAGAAATTTAAAAAAAATTATTCTCAAAAAAATTTAATTTTCATTTCTGGTTAACAAATTTATTTCATATTTTTGTAGATTTAAAAATTCTAAATTGATCACATTCAAAATTTCTTGAGATTTTCTTAAAACTTTTTAAAAATAATTTTATACATTGTTTTGTTTTTTTTTTTTGACTGAGTTTTAGAAAACGTTTTGATAAGATTGTCAAATTTGATACTGTACATAAACACTTCCCATGAATTCTCATTGTGATACTAACTTTTGATCATCTTGTAACCTTAGACAACAAATGACATATTGTTTGGATCATTAATATGGCTAACCCTTTTACATTTTATTCATCTATTCAAAAGTACCATAGATTCAGATTGAAAGAGAAGAAAAGGAGAAAAAAATTGAGTTATGCGAACTTACCGTTTTTCTCCACAACACATGTCTGTGGAAGGAGAAAATGAAAGAAACAAAAGATAGCAGAAGAGCGGGGGGGGGGGGGATGGGTAATTCATTGGGTGAAAGGGGGAGGAAGTCTGTTTGCATTGTGGAAGAATGGTTAGAGTAATAAAGGGGTATGACAAGAGAAGCTTTGGCCAGACTAATAATTAGTCACATAGTTGAAGAAGACAGAGAAAGAAATGGAGACAAGGAGGAAGGAAATAAAAGTCTGCAAGGGGCATTGTATTTGTTTCATAAAGTTCTTTTTTTTTTTGTTGTCAAAAACAAGCTGATGGGCCTAAATCCTACAATTCCAGAAAACAGATATGGTGGTAGTACCTGTTAGGGTCCCAGCTATGGGCAAAAAGTGAACCCCCACCCCCACCCAAACAAAAACAAAACATTATGAAAAAATAAAAATACATTTTATATAAAAAATACCAACAATACCTGTTTATAATAAAATTATCAACACTACCTATTTATAGTATATATTTAGTTGAATCCATAAAATTGTGTCAAAATATTTAGATTTTAGCATTAAATAACCTATAGAGATGTTGATATGCCACTAAACAAAATCAACCAACCAACCAGAAAATAGAAAGAAATCTGAATGAAAGGTTACATATATGTCTATTTCTTTTCAGGTCATTCCTTTTCTTTCTAAATCTCTTTTCATTTCCTGAAAATAGGGGAGGGGGGCAGTTGACTTAGAAATTACAGAAACACTGCAGAGTGTTGATGACTTTTTTTCTCATTCCAATCCCAGCAAATATTGTTATTCCATTAATAATTATAAAATATTTATATAAATATATTTAAAATTTTCCTATAATTAATTGAGATCATTATTTCCCATAATGTGACTTTTGAATCTGTTTTGTTTCCACCTTTTAATGTTTGAATTAAATCAATTACTGAAAGCCATAGAGAATTATTTCAATTTTAATCACTCAGTTGCAATTCATCTCATTTTGTTTTAATGAATTTCATAATTGAGACGATTGGTAATTATCAAATAAAAGCGTTAAATCAAATGACCATTTGCTACTGCAAAAAAAGGGATCTTCACACAGGCAGCTCATTTTTCTCTTTTGGAAAATTATAAATAATATTTTTCAATTTCCAAAATCTACTAAGACTTGTACAATAAAAAACAATCTTGCAATGATGGATGATATTGTGGACTCATTCAATATCCTCACCTTTCCAACCTATAAAAAGTACAGTCCACATCGTACGCCTACGTACTAAAAAAACCTCAACCAATAGAAATGGCAAAAATCGAAGCAAGCAACCCCATTGGTCAATCACTTACCAGAAACAGAAATTGCGCCAAAACGAGTTGAGCCACTTTTGAAAACACAAATAATATAAAAGAAAAAGCAGACAGCCCCAGTCAGTCAGTCTCGCTAACTCACCGAGTATTTGCTAAAATACTCCACAACGTTTCTAACCATAATTTTGCCACGCTTCAAAGGAACATTTACTGACTCTAATCGAACATTCAACGAACGACTCTTAAAACTCTTAAATTTTACTATCACAATCTTCGACATAAACAAGAAAATAGCGAACATTACGAAACAAGAGACATTCATTATCTGAACCATACACACAACTTACTTTAAATACCCACCCACACAGATTTTATCAAAATTGTAAATGACCCATTGTATATAAATGTTGTATTGTTTTTAATCTATATATGTCTCGTTTTTCTTGTTTTGAATATAACGATTGTTTGTTTACTTGTTTGGGACGTAGTGAAACACGCAACCATTAACAATAAACCCTTCTGATATATTTAACGACACCGATGTCCCAACAATATCTCCTTATTTTACAATGTTCTCTGAAATATCATCTTTTCAATCTATGTCCTTATTTTATTCGTCCATTTTACAACCAGTTACATAATGTCCTGAAAATTTAACATTTTCCACTCACTGACTTTTGGTAATATTTTAGTAGAGAACGACCTAAAGATTGACCCCAGCAGTTTTATCATTGATGATGTTCTCACAGTACAAATACAAGGGAGTTTACTAGATTTGGTCCTGTAGATTTTCTAGGCATGATTTTACTTCATCAAATAAGTCTGATACTCTTGTTCTTCAAATATCTTTGATACTCTTGTTCTTCAATGAAATTATTTAAGTCCAATAAATTTTTCAAGGATATTAAAATTAATATCAATTTTTCTTATAAAAAAATGTTTAATTGGACAAAATGACATATGTCAGCAGATTTAACTAAGGCTAAAGAAAATAAAGAAGAAACATTTATAAGTTCTTTCAGGTACATTGTGAGAGAGTTTTTGATGTTTCATAACTATTCTGACAGTGCAATTCTATTGATTTTCTTTTCAGTATCACCAAAAGTTTAGTAATTTCTTTTTAATCTTAAAAAAGGTTTTCATTTTTTTTGGCCAAAGCTATAATAGTGACATGAATTTTTTTAAAAGTACAAACTATGAAGCCATATAATTAATATTCATAAAAAACAAAAGCATGACTCCATAGTACACTAATATCAATTATAAACTGATTTGGATAAAAACCACTGATATTTAATTTACCATATCATGAAATATGCTATGCATTAGTCATTCTTACCCTAATCATTAAGCATCCTGGGTAAGACGATAAACTACATCCAGCAGCAAGGCCTCTGATCAGGATGTTTTGAAGAGCATGGAACCACCTCTTAATTGTTGGTGTTCTCAGGTCCACCCTGACCCAGGGTGGTAGAACCTGTTAGGGTCCCAGCTATGGGCAAATAGTTAACACCCAAACTTGTGTAAAAATAAGTTTTAATACCAGAAATACTTTGTAATAAAAAAAAATTATTACCAGCAATAATTTTTGAAGGAAAAATTATTATAAGGAATACTTTTAAAAAAAATATCAGAAATACAAACAGCTATATGTTCTTTGGAAAAAATATGACCAGCTTTCGATTTCTTCAAGGAAAAATGTTCCCAGAAATAGATTTTTGAAGAAAAACATATTACCAGCAATAAAAAATTTTGTCAGCATTAAATAACCCATTGAGGTTGATATGCCGTAAAACAAAACAAACCAAACAAAAATTTGTTTTGGCATTAAAAAACACTTTGATATTGATATACTGTAAAACAAAACAAACTATACCTAATCATTAAGTCTACCATTGAAACCTCAAATTTTTTTTGCCTTGAAAATAAAATGTTTTGTTTGGTTAATAGTTGAAGTCATTCTCACATTTTATAAAGAAACATAGTTCAAGTTCAAATTACAAGATAGTCATCTGCAGTGAGACTCCAACAACCAAAATTCATTAAGGTTTACACAACTTAAAACTTAACAAAAATAATTGCTTTATTCTTTTTTTAATTCTCAAAAGTCAGAGTAACAAAATTCAGAATAACTTTGCAGTCATGTAAGCAAGTAAATAAGGGAATAGAATGTTCCAACATAGCCCATTTGGAATCACTGATTCGACATAGATATTTTTAGGCAGAGGAATGATTAGGTGTCAGATTACTACTTCATCGTTATAGTCAAATTTGCTCTCTCTCTCTCTCTACCTCTCTCACTCATTTAGTAGTCAAATTAGTACTTTGCTTGAAAAGTCCAATTATTTTTCTGATGTTGAATCAGTCACGTTAAATGGGCTACGCTGAAATGTACCAAACTCAGTAAATGTTGAAGGAAAAGACATGGTCAGCCCAATTCCTGGTCAACCACTCAATATTTATGATCTAATTTGCTTAGTTTTTAAGGTCTCTTTCTACATAGAGTAAGAATTATTTCTTAAATGTCTGTGTCTATTTATTGTCCTGTTTCCATCAAAATTAAGTGACCATTTAAGAATCAGTCTTTTAATCTATCTTCAACAAATGGTGCTACAAATGGTGTTTTGCTCTAAACCATTTCTCCAGGCTTCAAAAACATTTCAAATATCAAAGGGATGTAATTGGCTAAACATTTTAAAAGAGAATTGCTCAATAGTTTCCTACAAGTAAACAAAATCCACAGCTTTTAAATCAATGCAATCAAATGTTTGACATTGTTGCTGAAAAATTTAAGTCATTTTTCTTGTGTCTGATAAGTCAATTATTGCACACATGACAATCCATATGTCCAAGTGTTGTATATAAAGATTAGTGTATTTGTAGCTTCAAAAAGGTTTGGAATCATTTAACTGACTAAAGTTTTTAGTTTCTGGATTGATTGTTTTGTGTTTATTTATTTTTTTAATATTTGGGAAGTGAAATGATTTTGTTAAAAAAAACTTATCTTTATTTTTTTTACATGTAAATAGTTGAGAATATGTTTTTTGTTTTGCAGTTCAAGAGCAAACATCAGAATCATTTTGCCACACCTGCCGAAAACTGTCAAATTTAAACAACCTGCAAGGACACCCTACACACATTGTGAATGATGTGCACTTGGTAACAATGTTACTGTTCAGTTGGCCCTTCTGTTCCACAGCTGAGAGGAGAACGTTGGATGCCTATCCTTATTTGCCTATGAACAAAGTCTTGCATGACTATGTAGAAGCTGAATTGTCACCTGGTCTGCTCAAAACAGAAGTAATTGGCCTATCAAGACAATTGTCTGTTATTCTAAGACTTTATGCAAGACAAAAAACCAAAGCAGAACAATAAAATTAGTTTTGTTTTAGGATATCATTTCATCATTCCAATAGACAATCGATTTGAATATCAGTGATGTTGATAGTAGAGCTATTTTCTAAATTATTTCCATTAATAATATTGATTTTGTGATAGCCACAGAAAGACAGTTTTCCTCCCCAACTATTTATATTATAGAATTGTATAAACAATTTATTTGAACAATCAGGTGCTGAAAATTTCTCAACCCAACCAAGTATAATGTTCTTCATCTAAGAAACATGCATACAATTCCAAATATTCACCTTGTAGTTCACCACATTTGGGACATTGTTTCTTAAGAATTCTATCCTTGGACCTATGTTGTTTCTTATCTTCATCAACAACCTTCTTGATGTCATCTGTTCTCAACTAGGTATATATGCTGGTGACAGATCTACTTACTCCTATCTTAATAGTAAGTCCAAGAGGTCCAAAAGAGTAAAATTGGCAGCTGCTCTCAAAAATGACCTCCAATCAGATGTTAACTTGGCTGATAAATTATTTGTAAAGTTTAATGCCTCCAAAATGAAACTACCATCTTTTAATCATCCTAGATAGCATTTTTGCCTTCCATCAGCATGGCTGATGCTAACCTCCAGGAGAGTGACTCATTGCACTTTCTTAATTTCCCATTTTCCACTGAAATGAAGTGAAATGGTTATATTGAATCAACTCTAATAAGTCTGCTGATAAGAAAGTTGGTTCACTGTTGTACCACGCCATTTTATATCGCCAGAATCTGTCTTGCACATTGATTGATTGATTGTATTGATCCATTGATTTCATTGGATTGATTGATTGATTGGATTGTATGACCTCTTGTGGGTCATTTAGATCCACATTGATTGTGTTGTAAACATCTTTTATCGTTTGTCAAGTATGGATGAGAGTAAGTTTTATAGTTCTTCAGATACAGTTGGAAGAAAATTATATATTTTGTTAGGTATGGTTGAAGAATCTTGCACATTTATAAATCTACCATTCATCTATGTATTGAATATTGTTGCCATATCTGATTTGGTGCACCTGCTATATATATATATATATATATATATATATATATTGTAGTGAGATGCAAATTAGTATAATTTGCATATGAGCAGGTAGCTCATATGATAAATGGACACCAACTAGAACAGAGGTCGAATGCTTACTTAGCAATATACACGACACAACAATGGCGTCACCGATAGGATACTCTTTGGTCCTTGAAGACCCAGAGTACGTGAATACGTGGTTCCGTTGCTTTGCTGCTAATGCAAGATGTAAAAAGTTGAAAGACAACAAAAACAGAGGGAGGGAAAATGAAATCACTGACTTGTTCATGGCTACAGCTGATTGTGAAGCGATTATGAAGGTTGCTACAATGGTTTACCCTCGAGAACTAGAAGAAATGACTTTTCAAGAAATAAGTCAGGTTATTAAAGGGAAACATGAGGCCAAAGAAAAGACTGGTGATTGCAGAAAGGACCAAGTTTATGGCAATGAAGCAGGAAGTGGATGAACCGATAGTAAAATATTTACACGGTTAAGAAGTGCGAGTAAATACTGTGAATTCGAAAAACTAGGAACAGGAGAGCAGACAACGGAAGAAAAAATTAATCAACTAAGATTAATTGAAGGTATGCATAATTCGGCACATAGATATAAGTTAATGGAACAGTTACAACTTACAAACATGCCTTTGAATATGTGTATAGAATTTATACAACAGCAGGAATTAATACATACCTACAACCAAAATAGAAATAAATCCTACGAAGAAATAATGGCTGAAACATATACAGTACAAACAAAAAGAAAAAATTGTGCGTACTGTGGAAAAATTCATGAAATGAAAAAAGAAAAATGCCCAGCCTTTGGAAAGACCTGTTCAAAGATCACAGACCACTGGAATTTATTTTCAACCCAAGAAAAGAGCTACCGAAAGTTACAACGTCCAGAATATTACGTTGGGCGATTAGACTGATGGCGTTCGACTTTGACATTGAATATGTTAAAGGGAATACGATACCGCACGTTGATGCCTTATCTAGATTGAGGTTTTATAGAGAGGAGAAGGACGAAAACGACGAGGAATTTGAAGACACATTCTTGCATCTTGTAGAAACCGATGTAATATCTGTAGATAAAATGGCTACTGAAACTACAAATGACCCAGTGTTAAATAGAATAATGTCGAGGATAAAACAGAATCGCTGGGGAAATTGTTCAATGGCTGAAAAGACCATTCAAAGGAATTAGACATAGAATGACTATAGAAAACGGGATAATATGTAATGGAGACTTGGTAGTTCCCCAGAAACACAGAGGAGACAGGTTATAAAAAGTGTACACGATGACGTACATTGTGGAGTGGCAGCTATGCAAAGAAGATTAAAATTGGGCGGGGTGGCGGGGTACTCAAGAGACGTAGAAGACTACGTAAGAAGATGCAAAAATGCACAGAACTCAGGAATTTTAAGCAAAAGAAAATACATGTATGGCCCCGAAGTAGAACCATGGAGCAGAGTACACATGGACCATGCCTATGTCAATAGGATAGGACTATTATTAATATTAGTAGACGCATATTCAGGTTGGCCTGAAGTGGTGAGAGTACCTGATAAAAAAGTACCACCGTAAAACAAATATTAAGAGTAATATTTTAGAGAATGGGACACCGAGAACATTGGTTACTGATAACGCACCAGAATTTGTGGATGCTGATTTGCATGAATGGCTAAGAAAAATAGGATGCAGACCTTACAAGACCCTCCCTACCACCCTCAAAGTAATGGGACAGCAGAACGGATGGTCCAGACAGTAAAGAAGGGCATAAAAGCATGCTTGCAACAGAAGGAGGAAATCGATGCTTTTCTACCAAGACTACTATTAAGTTACAGAACAATTCCACATGCAGGCAGGCCGGAAACATCTGCCTTAATGGGCAGACAATTAAGGTCCCTTTGACTATGTCATATGCCACAAATCAAAAGATGTGGTACAAAAGAAATAGGAATATGCAACCCGAGTCAGCCAAATTTATTATGCAGAAAGGACATAATACTGCAATATTAAATAAAGAAAATGGGAACGGTGTTCTAGCTCATGCTGACCAAATAAGATCTCAAGGAGAAGAATCGGATGAGGAAATGCCTTCAGAGATGCCTATTATTGACGTAACAGAAGAGTTAATGCAGAATGAAACTGCGGAGGAAGAAGTAGAGAGGGATGAGTTAGAAGAGGAAGAAGTAGAATGGGACAAGTTAGAAGAGAAAGACCACAGTATGCAAGAGGAACAGTTCGATTATAGGGAAAGACGTGATAGATCTAGATCTCCAAGGGAAAGGAGAGAGATAAAGGAAGATGTTCAGGAGGGCACAAGAAGAAGTACTCGCGGCATAAGGCCCCTCCGTTATAGGGAGATGTAGTGAGATGCAAATTAGTATAATTTGCATATGAGCAGGTAGCTCATGATAAATGGACACCAACTAGAACAGAGGTCGAATGCTTACTTAGCAATATACACGACACAACATATATATTTAGATTTTTCACAAAATCCAAAGAAGAGTCTCTAATGTTATTGGTCCTGAGCTGGCATCTCAGCTTCAGTCACTTTCCTTTTGCCATAATGTAGCTTCCATTTGTCTTTTCTATAAATATTTTCAAGGCAATTGTTCTTATGAGCTCTCCTCCTTGGAACCTGAAATGTACAACTAAGCATTACTAGGTCTCTTCATTTTTCTCTTGGAATAGCTAGATGTAACCATAAGTTCTATTCTAAGAGTTTATTTTCCCACACTTCTCACTTGTGGAACTCTCTTCCAATTTCTTGCTTCCCTGCAACCTACATTCTTCAAGAATTTAAATGCAACATCAATCGTCATCTTCAGTCTTCCTGAAACCTGTTCTTTTATTGTCTTTTCTCTTCCCTAAAGTCTTCTCATTCTCTCTCTCACTCCTAGTAACCCCTTGGGACTTAGTGGCATTATCACCTTTTTGTGGGTGAAATGATTATTAAAAACAAAATAACAATTTCATTAATCCTTCCAAAAATTAAAATGATATTTAGTCATTGAAATACTGATTCTGAGAACTGGTGAGCCTGATAAATTTTCATCACCCTTTTGTATAAAACAACCATTAATAAAACTACATTTATTAATAAGATATATATTATTTTATTTTTAATTTTTAGCCTGAAAGCAAACTGGGAATTCATTCACAGCTATGATTTGATGCATTGCAGATAACAATAGAAAAACATAAAGTTTAGTTGATGAAATTTTAAGACTAAACTGTTTATCTTCTCTGTTTGAAAAATTTGGTATAAGACTACTGGGGCACTCTATGAGGTTCAAATTCACTACTTAGTTGTAATAATCAACCAGACTTGCTCATTAACTATTATTCCACTAAAGTACTCTCTTCTAAATTTTGTTGATGGTTTTAACGTTCAATCTAAAAAGGAACATAATTGCAGAAGGAAACTTATTTTTTGTATTACTAAATTGTTTCATTGACTCTGATATTTAAGCAAAACATTTTTGCAAAGACTAAACAAAAACTACCTAATTGCCATACGAAAATAATTTAATATTTTCTGTCATTATCATTAATATGCCTATTTTAATGTGCATAAATAACATATAAATGCAAAGGAACAATTAATTTACAACAATTTTAACTTTTAGATATGTTGTTCTTTCATAAATCTGCAGGACATGAAAAGTGTTAAAATAGTCAGTAAAAAAAATATTTCTTTTAATAAAATTTCTCAAATATTTAAAAAATCATTTCCTGAAATTTACAAAATTCTGTAAAACTCTGAAAAATGTCAGATTTTTTTTTTTTTTTTCTGGACTTGTGAATAAAAG